CATATACATACACATACACATATATACATACATATATGTATCTATACATATATAATACATATATATAAACATAGATATATGTATATATACATATATAATACATGTCACACATATGTATGTGTATGTAGATGTAAATGTATGTGTATGTTATATGTAAATATAATACATATATGTATCATATATAATTATATATATGAATTTTAAAAAATTCCAGGGATAGGAGAATTATAGTTATCTATATTAGAAGAAAACCATGTTGAGACCTTACTGATCTTTTTCAATACTGACTAACAGAAATTTATGGAAAAAGAGTCTCAAACCTATGATTTTTGAATCCAACAATTTTGCATAAGGAACATAGTATCCAGCAGTAGACAGAGTACAACTTTAAAAAAAAATTATCATTTATTCACTTTGGAGTTATTTGGTTTAAAAATATTTTTATTTTTTTAATCCTCTGAAGCTTTCTATCTTTACAAAAGAGAAAAAATATTAACAATTTAAAACATGATATTTAAATTCATTTCACATGTGGAAAATCATTATCTTCAGTTGAACTCATGTATTTTTCAGCTGAAAAGGTTGAAAGGTTTTGCATCTCTATATCTCTAGGGCCTATTTTTTATATTTTCACAGAAAAGACAGTTACTAAATGCATATTTAATAACAAAAGTTGTAGGTGCAAAAGCTTCTTCACTCCTAAACATTTTGATCATGCTTATTTTTTTTGCATTTTTATTAATTACTATTATTTCGTACAATGTATTCACTTTGTATACTAGCTGTGGCCCACTCCCCTCCACTCCTCTCAATCCCACACTCCCTCCCCCTTCTCCCTATATACCCCTCCCCTACTCCACTGATAGGGAGGTCCTCTTCCCCTTCTATCTCATCACAACTGGTTGATTTGTCTTCCTCTGTGGCCTGGCAAGGCTGCACCTCCCAGGGAGAGGTGATCAAAGAAACTGTCACTGAGTTCATGTCAGAGACAATCACTGCACCCCTTACTAGGAAACCCACTTGGAGACTCAGTCTATGGGCTACAACTTCCTTTAATATCTGTGACAATTCAAAAATACGAATAGGAATGCCATTGTGGTAGAATTTACTGGAGTGTGTTGTGGTAGTAAGAGAAAAGGGGATGCAACAAAAAGATAATGGAACAAGAAATGTATTAATCCAAAAAAATATGTTTTATAAAATGTGTACCAATATATAGCATCATATCTTAGTAGATAGTACCAACTGAGAAATACAACCAAATGAAATAAAGAATTGACAATTTTGTTCACATGAAAATGAAATAAAATTGAAAAGTTCAAAAGGAACAAAGACAGACTGCAGTCTAAAAGAGTGTGTGCGGTTTCTAAATGATGCACAGGTACCCAGTATAAAAACAGCAAAATAGCAAATGCTTCATAAAATTACAGGGCAATTGCAAAGGAAAACAAACAAGAAAGTGGTTAAAATGTGGGGCATGCAGAATTTCCAAAACAATCCTGTACAACAACAGATCATCTGGAGGTATCCCCATCCCCGATCTCAAGTTGTACTACAGAGCAATAGTAATAAAAACTGCATGGTATTGGCATAAAAACAGAAAGGAGGATCAATGGAACCGCATAGAAGACCCAGAAATAAACCCACACACTTATGAATACTCAATTTTTGACAAAGAAGCCAAAACCATTCAATGGAAAAAAGACAGCATCTTCAACAAATGGTGCTGGTCCAACTGGATGTCTACATGCAGAAAAATAAAAATAGATCCATATTTATCACCCTGCACAAAACTAAAGCCCAAGTGGATCAAGGACCTCAACATAAAACCAGATACTCTAAATCAGTTGGAAAAAAAAGAGGGAAACAGCCTAGAACTCATTGGCACAAGAGACAACTTCCTGAACAGAACACCAACAGCACAGGCTCTAAGAGCAACAATCAATAAATGGGACCTCATGAAACTGAAAAGCTTCTGTAAAGCAAAGGACACTGTCATCAAAACAAAATGCCTGCCTACAGATTGGGAAAGAATCTTCACTAACCCTTTATCTGACAGAGGACTAATATCGAGTATATACAAAGAACTAAAGAAGCTGAAAAGCAGCAAACCAAGTAATCCACTTAAAAAATGGGGAACAGAGCTAAACAGAGAATTCTCGACAGAGGAATATCGAATGGCAGAGAAACACTTAAAGAAATGCTCAACCTCATTAGCCATCAGGGAAATGCAAATCAAAACGACCCTGAGATTTCACCTTACACCCATCAGAATGGCCAAGATGAAAAACTCAAGTGACAACACATACTGGAGAGGTTGTGGAGAAAAGGGCACCCTCCTCCACTGCTGGTGGAAATGTAAACTGATACAACCACTCTGGAAATCTATCTGGCGCTTTCTCAGACAATTACGAATAGTGCTTCCTCAAGACCCAGCTATACCACTGCTAGGTATATACCCAAAGTTTGCTCAAGTACACAAAAGGGATATTTGCTCAACCATGTTTATAGCAGCTTTATTTGTAATAGCCAGAACCTGGAAACAACTCAGATGTCCATCAACGGAGAAATGGGTACAGAAATTGTGGTATTTTTACACAATGGAATACTACTCAGCAATCAAAAAGGAGGAAATCATGAAAATTTGCAGGCAAATGGTGAGATCTAGAAAAGATCATTCTGAGTGAAATATCCCAGAAGGAGAAAGACAAACACGGTATATACTCACTTATATAGACCTATAAGATATGAAAAACATAATGAAATCTATACACCTAAAAAAGATAATCAAGAGAGCAGACATGGGGTAAGATGATCAATCCTCATTTAGAAAGACAGATGGGATGTGCATTGAACGTATGACAGGAGTCTACTGAGCACATCTGAAAGACTCTAACTAGCAGTGTTTTCAAAGCAGATACAAAGACTCATGACCAAACCTTCAGCAGAGTACAGGGAATCATATGAAAGAAGGGGAGTTAGTATGATGGAGAAAGGATAGGAGCTCCACAAGGACCAAATAGACCAAATATATCTGGGCATAGGGTCTTTTCTGAGACTGACATTCAACCAAGGACCATATATAGATATAACCTAGAACCTCTGCTCAGATGTAGCCTGTGGTAGCTCAGTAACCAATTGGTTTCCCATAGTGAGGGGAACAAGGACTATTTGTAACAGAAACTCAATGACTGGTTCTTTGACCTCCCCACCCCCCAAGGGAGGAGCAGTCCTGTTAGGCCACAGTCCTGTTAGGCAACAGTCCTGTTAGGCAACCAGTCCTGAAGATACCTGATAAAACAGGATCAGATGAATGGGGAGGAGGTCCCCCCATCAGTGGACTTGGAAAGGGGCATGATGGAGATGAAGGAGGGAGGGTGGGATTGGGAGGTAATGAGGGAGCGGGACACGGCTGGGATACAGAGTTAATAAAATGTAACTGATAAGAAAAAAATAAAATTAAAAAAAATGTGGGGCATGATGCTCTTCCTCACCAATAACCAGGAGAATTAAATTAAGGTATGACCATGTTTCCTTCCCCATGATATCTGGGACAAGCAAACTGTAATAACATTAAATTCTAATGATACACATAATAAAAAAGGAAGGTGTTGTGAGCATTTTGAGAAAGGTTGTCAGGTAGCACATGCTGTACTCTGAATTCACCCATCATGTAGGGAAGATGACCTTAACTTTTGAATCTTCCTGACTTCACCTCCCAAGTGATAGGCATATATCCGCTTATGTGGTAGCAATGACAGACTAAGTATAGAATTTGGGGTTTTATGCTCTGTTAATTTGAATATATTTAGAAGTATCTCTTACACTAATCTGGCAGTAATTAGCTGCAAGCACTTTCATTTTGGTAAATAAGAAATTTTGCTTATATATTAGAAGTATGAGTGAGCAGCCTTTGCCTTGTACCTGATTTCAGTGGAATTGATTTAAGTTTCTCTCTGTTTAGTTTGATGTTGGCTATAGGCTTGCTGTATACTGTCTTTATCAAGTTTAGGTATGTGCCTTGTATCCTTTATCTCTCCAAGACTTTAAACATGAATGGGTATTGGATTTTGTCAAATGCTTTTCCAGCATCTAAGGAGATGATCATGTGGTTTTCTCCTTCAGTTTGTTTATATGGTGGATTACATTGATGGATTTCCATATGTTGAACCACCCCTGTATGCCAAGTAGGATGAAACCTACTTGGTCATAGTGGATGATATCTTGGATGATATCATGGTGGTGTTCTTGGATTCAGTTTATTAGTATTTTATTGACTATTTTAGAGGAAGAGAATGCAGTCAGTCCTGATGAGACCTGATAAGCAAGGGTCAGATGGAAGGGGAGGAGGACTGCCCCATCACTGGACTGGGGGAGGGGAAGGAAGGAGAAGAGGGAGGGAGGGTGTGGTTAGGAGAGGATGAGGGAAGGGCCTACAGCTTGGATACAAAGTGAATAAATTGTAATTAATAAGAAAAATTTTAAAGTGTATAATTAAAAAAATAAACAAATTAGAACTATGTCTATACATAGATCTAAATATGGACACTACATAGTGGATACATATTGTATATGTTAGCAGTAAAAACAAGAAAGAATATATTTATCAAAATCAATAAACCATGCCACAAGCTAGGAAACACTATGAATACTTTTACCTGAGATAATAAACATAAATTTCTCATACCTAGGAAATGGAAAACACAACCCCCAGAAGTATATTTAGGAAAAACAAAAAACAAACAAACAAACATAAAAAAAACCCTACAGGATTGAAGAGATGGACCACAGGTGGAGTGCTTCCTGCTTCTGCATAAGACCCCAGTTCATTTTCCATCACCCAGGTCAAAGGGGCTTACACCTCTAGTTCCACCAGACCTGATACATTTCCTTATCTTTGTAAGCACCAATACATAATCATATACAAATATACACAAAAATTTAAAACATTGACAAAAGTAAATCATTAAAAAACAATATGCGATCCTGTGTGGGGCAAAATGGACCTCGAGGCCATGAGTAGGTATACCAGCCCGGTGAACCCGGCTGTCTTCCCACACCTGACTGTGGTACTTCTGGCCATCAGTATGTTTTTTACCGCCTGCTTCTTTGTTTACGAGGTCACCTCCACCAAGTACACATGCAACATTTACAAAAAGCTCCTCATCAACTTGGTAGCCTCATTCTTCATGGGCTTTGGAATCTTCTTCCTTCTGCTCTGGGTTGGCACATACGTATGAGTCTCCAAGGGTACCCACCAGGCAGCTCACCAAGTCCCTGCTTTTGTAAATTAATTTTTTACCATTGCTACAAGTGCCCCACCTGCTGTTTACAATAAAAGCAGATGTATGCAAAAAAAAATCAATATGCATTGTGTATATATGTGCAAATTCATAGAAGTAAAGACTTGTAAAGCATGTAGCCTGATTGTCTTAATAAAGATTACCTTCATGTAGGAGGAAGATAAGGTGTAGGAGAGGAAAAAGTCCGCTCTTCCACACAGCGTTATTGTGTGTTACTAATCTTGAAAGAATATGTCCCTTACACAGTGCATCCTAATCTTGTACAATGAGAAGGTACTTGTGCGACCTGTACCATTAAGTAGATTGAATTTAAACAGAGAAAATAAAATATGTAAAAAATTCAAAATTTTCACCTTGTGAAAATCAATGTGAATATTCATTTTATGTTTATAACTTGAAGCTTCGATGATCCCTTAGATGGGTGATTATCATATATCAGATAAAAATTAACATTTTACCAAGTTATACAACATACAGCATAAAATCTAAATATTAAAAATGAAACTAAAATTGCACCTCCCAAATCCAGATCTTCTTCTTTTATAATTTATTCATTGTATATCCCGATTGAAGCCCCCTCCCTCAACTCCTATAGTCCCACCTTCCCTTCCTCTCCCCCTATATCCCTTTCCCCTAGTTGACTGACAGGGGGAGTTCTCCTCCGCTGCCATCTGCCCATAGCTTATCAGGTCTCATAAGGACTGTCTGGATCCTCTTTCTCTGTGGCCTGGCCAGGCCACTTCAGCAAAGAAAAGTGATTAAAGAATAGGCAATTGAGGTCATAACAGAGGCAGCTCATGCTCCTCTTACTTGGACTCCCACATGGAGACTGAGCTGCCTATGGTTTACATCTGAGCAGGGGCCTAGGTCCTCTTCATGCATAGTCCTTGGTTGTGCATCAGTCTCTGCAGGACTCCCTGGGCTCAGGGTTTTAGCTTTGTTGGTCTCCTTGTGAGGCTCCTGTCCCCTCCATATCCTTCTATCCTCCACCCCTTCTTCCATAAAACTCCCTGCACTCTGTGCAAAGTTCATCTGTGAGTCTCATCATCTGCTTCAATCCCCTGTTGGGTGGAGTCTTTCAGAGGACCCTCTATAGTAGACTCCCATCTTGTTCCCTCTCTTCCAGTGCTTCTGGTATCTATGCTGTTTGCCATACTGAATGAGATTTAAGCATCCTCCCTAGAGTCCTCCTTGTTCTTTAGCTTCCTTAGTTCTGTAAATTTTAGTATGGCTATCCTATATTATATGGCTCATATCAGCTTATAAGTGAGTGTATACCACATGATTCTTTCTATTTCTGGATTACCTCACTCAAAAGAAAGGAAAACCTTCATCCAATTCTGTTGGGAGTGCAAACTTGTACAACCACTTTGGAAACCAATATGGTACTTTCTTAGAAAACTGGGAATAGCACTACCTCAAGACCCAGCTATACCACTCCTGGTCATATACCCAAAAGATGCCCCACCATTCAACAAGGATATTTGCTCAACTATGTTCATAGCAGCTTTATTTGTAATAGCCAAAATCTGAAGACAACCTAGATGTCCCTCAACAGAGGAATGGATACAAAAAAAAAAAATGGGGGGGCGGAGCCAAGATGGCGACTAGCACACACAGTTTCCGAGCTGTGGAGGAGATAAAGTTCTGAGCTGATGTGTGGAAGAACTTCTGAAGCCAGGGAAACAACGGAGAGACTTTCTAAACAACAGGGAACATCGCAGGAGGTGAAAACCTTGGTCTCGGGTCACCCACGGACTTGATTGGGGAAGGTGAGAAACGATCCTTTGATCTCTCGGCACTCCCCTCCCCCAGACCTCCCTCCTCCTCGGCACAGGCACAGCCGACTCGCCTTTCTCAGCGCAGACCTAACTGCCTGGGGCCTGCAGCCACTGAGGCGGAGCCCCAAGCCCTTTATCGGCAAAGGCCAGCAGTACTGGGTCTCGGAGTCCCAGATTCACTCGCGGCGGCTGCACCATCCTCCCAGGGCCCGAGTCTGCTAGACGCCATACTAGCTCCGCAGGAGCGCCATCACTGTTGGTACGGCCCGCCCAATCCCACAGTGACAGAGAATTCGCTATATAATCACCAAAACCAGACAAAAACGCCATACAAGCTAGACACACCAGGCGCTGGGCCTCCGAAGCTTGGAGAGCACAGTAAAGAGACCCCAGGACTTCCCAGAAAGCATCTGGACTAGCAACCCAGTCTCCAGTTACAGCGGGACTTTCTAACCTGGCGGCGGAGCAGCACTGAGCTGGCGGGGCACATCAGCCCTCCAGTTTAAGACTAACCAGGGCCAAACCAGAGAACAGAAAGGCTGATTACCCCGATTCCCACTGACGTGACCACCCTGAAATCTCCAGCTGCAGCAAGACCTCATAACCTGGCAGTGACAGCAGCACGGAACTGGCGGAGCACATCAAAGAAGCAGGGCCAAACCAGAGAGCAGAGAGCCCAGATACGCCGATCTCTGCCAAGTGTCCTGCCTGTAAGTGAGTGCACCCTTGAGAATCTGCAGCTCCACTGATCCTGGGTTCTGCTAAAACAGAAGCCAGGCATCGAACCCCCTCCCACCCATATACCCACTTTGGGAAACAGAGGGGCACTTGGAACATTGAAGTTCCTGCTCTGTGGGTCTAATTGAGGAGTTAAGGCAGTTAATGCCAGAAATTGCGCTGCGATCATCACTAGCGCCTGCGACATATACATTGCAGAGCCCCTCCCACACACTCAAGGGTTCAACATTAGCCATCACTCTGTCCCTCGAGACACACGCCCACACCCACTTACACACACACACACATATACACACACACGCACGCACGCTTGCATTTGCCTCTGTTTGCGCCTGCGTACTTTCCTCCCACAGGTACAGCTAGTCCTCAGCATACGCTAAGGACACGGGACCTCTCTCAACTTCCTGAAGAATTCTCCAGACTCGAGAGAGAGACAGTACCAGTCTGATCGGCAGAATCCAAAAACAAACAGGGAAGGTCTCAGACAAGCCAATGGCCAGGGGTAGGCGAAAGAACACTTCCAACATAAATCAGGACATCATGACTTCACCAGCAAACCCCAAAATCGATGGATACTCCAATTCATCAGAAGCACAGGAAAATGACCTTAAAGCCATGCTTGCTCAATTATTTGAGGCTTATAAGGAGGAAATGAACAAATCTTTCAAAGAGTTGGCCAGTCAATTGGAGGTAAAGAAAGAAGAAATAGACAAAACCCTTAAAGAAACACAGGCAAACATAGCCAAACAAATAGAGGCACAAGTAGAGAAAAAATTAGTGGCATACAAAAAGGAAATGAACAAAGAAATAGAGTCCATCGTAGAGAGACAGGAATCCAAATTCAAACACATAAAAGAAATGGTGCAAGGCATGAAAACAGAATTAGAATCAATAAAGCAAACACAAAATGAGAAAACTCTTGAGCTGGAGAACTTGGAGAAAAGATCAGGAACCACAAAAGTAAGCATCACCAACAGAATACAAGAGATGGAAGAGAGAATCTCTGGAGCTGAAGACACACTTGCAGAAATTGATACTTCTCTCAAAGAAAAAGTAAAATCAGAAAAATTCCAATCACAAAATATCCAAGAAATCAAGGATGCTATGAAAAGACAAAATCTAAGAATAATAGGAATTGATGAAAAAGAAGACTCCAGGCTCCAAGGTCCAGAAAATATTTTCAAAAAAATCATAGAAGAAAATTTTCCCAACTTAAAGAAAGAGATGTCCATAAATATACAAGAGGCCTACAGAACACCAAATAGACTAGACCAGAAAAGAAACACATCACGTCACATCATAGTCAAAACACTAAATCTACAGAACAAAGAAAAGATATTAAAAGCAGCAAGGGAAAAAGGCCAAGTAACATATGAAGGTAGACCTATCAGAATCACACCAGACTTCTCATCAGAAACTATGAAAGCCAGAAGGGCCTGGGCAAGCATCATGGAGACTCTAAGAGATCACAAATGTCAACCGAGACTACTATACCCTGCAAAGCTTTCAATCAACATAGATGGAGAAAACAAAATATTCCATGACAAAACTAAATTTACGCAATATCTATACAGCAAACCAACCCTACAGAAGATACTAGAAGGAAAACTCCAATCCAACGAAAACGAATTCACCCAAGAAAACAGGGCATACAGATAATGTCCCAACAAAAATGAAAAGAAAACAAGCAATGAAACAAGGTAAGATCATCGACTCCATTACAAAAGGAACTAACATGCATTGGTCAATATTATCTATCAATATTAATGGACTCAACTCACCAATAAAAAGACACAGGCTAACAGAATGGTTACGGAAACAGGACCCAACATTCTGTTGCATCCAAGAAACACACCTATGCAACAAAGATAAACACTACCTCAGAGTAAAGGGCTGGAAAAATGTTTTTCAAGCAAATGGTTCCAGAAAACAAGCTGGAGTAGCCATCCTAATATCTAATAAAATAGACTTTCAACCCAAGTTAATCAAAAAAGATAAGGAGGGCCACTATATTCTCATCAAAGGAAAAATCCAACAAGAGGACATCACAATTTTGAATATCTATGCCCCAAATACAAGAGCACCTACATTCGTAAATGAAACAATATTAAAGCTTAAATCATACATTGATCCTAATACCTTAATAGTGGGAGACTTCAACACCCCACTCTCATCAAGGGACAGATCAACCAGACAGACACCAAATAGGGAAATAAAAGCACTCACAGAATCCCTAAATCAAATGGACCTAATAGATGTCTACAGATCTTTTCACCCAAACTCAAAAGAGTACACCTTCTTTTCAGCACCGCATGGAACCTTCTCCAAAATAGACCATATAGTTGGTCACAAAGCAAGCCTCAACAGATACAAAAGGATTGAAATAATCCCTTGTATACTATCTGACCACCATGGACT